ACCTGTGGTCCCAGCTACTTGGGAGGCGGAGGCAGGAGACTCGCTTGAGCCCAGGAGTTGGAGGTTGCTGTGAGCTGTAATGCCACAGCACTCTGCCCAGGAGGACAGCTTGAGGCTCTGTCTCAAAAAAAAAAAATACAATTGGACACATCTACCATAATGTAAGCTTCAGATAAGCAAGGATTTTTTTTTTTTTTTAGATAGGGTCTTACTTTGTCACCCAAGCTGGAGTGCAGTAACATTATCACAGCTCCCTGCAGCCCAAACTCTTGGGTTCAAGCCATCCTTCTGCCTCAGCCTCTCCAATAGCTAGACCTACAGTTGCATCACCATGCCTAGCTGTTTTTCTTTTTGGGGTTTTTTTTTGTAGAGATGGGTCTCAATATGTTGCCCAGGCTGGTCTTAAACTCTTGGCCTCATGTGATCTTCCCACTTTGGCCTTCCAAAGTGCTAGAATTACATGCATAAGCCACCACACCAGGCCCATATAAGTAAGGGTTTTTTTGTTTTTGTTTTTGTTTTTTTGAGACAGGGTCTCACTTTGTTGCCCAGAGTAGAGTGCTGTGGCATCACAGCTCACAGCAATCTCAAACTCTTGGGATCAAGTGATTCTCTTGCCTCAGACTCCCTAGTAGCTGTGATTACAGGGACCTGCCATAACACCTGGCTATTTTTTTAGAGATGGGGTCTCACTCTTGCTCAGGCTGGTCTCCAACTCCTGAGCTCAGGCAATCTGCCCACCTCAGCCTCCCAGAGTACTAGGATTACAGGCATGAGCCACCATGTCCAGCCTAAGCAAGGATTTTTTAAAATCTAATTTGCTTATTCCTACATTACCAGGGCCTAGTACAGAACCTTACACATGGTAGGCACTCAATAAACGTGTTGCATGATTATATGGATTTATTGTTTGGTTGTAGTTGTCATTTTTGTTTCTGGCCCAGCTGGGTTCAAACCCACCAGCCTCAGTATATGGCTGGCCCCATAACCACTGTACTATAGGTGCCAAGCCTGGATTTATTGTTTTGCTGACTTCTTCTTCTTATATAATGTGCTAAGTTATTATTAGTTTCGTGGCTGATTATTTCTAATTTACATGTGCAAAATTTATTTCCTTAATTCTTTAAAAGATTAAAAAGCAGGGAGGTGCTTAAGAGTTGCTGCATCTTCATTACTATTGTTAGTTGAGTCACACCCTGGGAAAAAATTATATTCTCCTGTGGGATGATTTTCTAAGATCACTATCAGAAGGCCAGCAAACTTCAGGAATCAGTGTTCAAAAAGTCACAATTAATGTATTTAGGCCATGCATCTTGAGAATTCAAGGTACAATACAAATGCATTTAAAGCATTAAATGCTCCCTAAAACCTTTTCCTCAAAAATAATACTTCCAAAATAAAAATGCATTTAGGTAAAACCAATGGCAGCTTCTGTGTTATGATCTCAATATGGCTCAGCCTCTGAGTGGCAGAGTGTGCTCCCTATTAAATGTAATTTTCCTGGAAATAAAGAGGTGAGCTGCTACTCAAGTGAATTCAAGCCAGTTGGAACATTATATTACAGGAACCCACAGGAGCTTCCAATAGGCTTGTGGTTTTAGCACTGGTGGCCTGTAGGGGTCAGCTGTGTTTTTTATTTGCTCCACATCCACTCCAATTTCTGGTAACTAAACTAAAGTTTTCCTTGGGAAACCATTCCTTCTACACTTTCAACTGTGGGATTTAGAGGAGGCTGAGTTCACTACCGGCGCCAGAGAAGAACACGGAATTAGCCAATGTGTCACATCCCCTGGCCAAAGCCACACAAAAAGCAAGTTTTTGGCTTTCCGGATCCTTGAATGCAGCCTTTTGACTGAATCCAGATTTTACAGAACAAATCCTTTTAATAAAGGGCCCTGGAGCCAGCTATACCTCATTTACCCCTGGATTTTTAGTTTCATGAACAATACATCATCTCTCCCTCTTTCTTAAACTAATTTGTGATTGTGCTTCAGCACTTTAAATGGAGACATTCCTGACTAGCAAATTAGAATTTGAAAACATAGATCAGCTCTTTTCAGCCAGCACTGAGTGGTGGGCATCTCTGGGGACAATGGTCACAAGTACCACAAGACTAGGGACAAGAGAAAGCCCTACCACAAGGAGCAGAAGTATGAGCTGGGATGTGCCCCACTGCCAACACTAGGATTGGCCCCCTCATATACAAAGTCTGTATTTGGGGGAGGTAACAAGAAATACCAGTGCCCTGAGGCTGGGGGTAGGAAACTTCTCTGGGGACTCAGAGTGTTATACTTGCAAAACAAGGATCACCAATGTTATCTACAGTGCATCCCATAAGGAGCTAAACCTTAGTGAAGAAGTGCATCACAGCACACCATACTACAGTGGTATGAGTCCCACTATGCCCTGCCCTGGGCCATAAGAAGGAGGCCCAGATGACTCCTGAGGAAGAAGAGATTTTTAAAGAAAAAATGACCAAAAGAATTTCAGAAGAAATATGATGAAAGAAAAAATAATGCCAAAATCAGCAATCTTCTGGAGGAGCAGTTTTAGCAGGGCAAGCTTGTTGCATGCATCCCATCAAGACCAGGCCAGTAAGGCTGAGCAAATGGCTGTATGTTAGAGGGCAAGGAGCTGGAGTTCTATCTGAGGAAAATCAAGGCCCCAAAAGGCAAATAATTCCTTCTCTCTCCTTTCTTAGCTCATGTAATAAAGGCATTTATTGTTCTTAAAAAAAAAAAAAAAGAAGAAGAAAGAAAAGAAAAAGAAAGTGTAGATGAGAAAAATAGGCACAAATCTGTGAGACCCACTACTCAGGTGAAAATAGAAGCCTTGAACCATGTCCAGAAGTAAACGATGACTTTGCCTCTTTGTCCTTCACATGTACCTCAAATTTCATTAGAGCAGTGGGCTAGGACGCAGTAGAAGTATAGTTTTTTCTCATTTCTTTTATACATGAAGGAAGACTCTGATCATTCTTTCCTGGGTTTTATGCATGTGCTAGCCACATTCACTGGCTTCCTTTTCACATTGGTCCCTTTGTCTGCTTCCATGAGGGGTAGGGGAAAAGACATTGAAATAAGCCAGAGGCCAGGTCTTGGTGGGCTTCTCTAGTGCTTTAAAACTCTCTTTACTTGACTAAAGAGAATTCTGTTAGCATTTGCCATTAAACCTCCAAAAAGATGTTCAATTTGTGCAGCATTTGAAGACACTCATTTAATAGTTACTGAGGGCCTGTGCATGCCAGGCTCCAGCTTCCACACATAGAGCAGCAAGTGGACAGGCTTTCTCATTTTCAGGAAGACTTGCTTCTAGTCCTTGGTCAGCCCTTCTTCACCCTTTGGGGTGGCACATTTGCCATGGCCCAATTTTCCCTTCCAACCCAACCTAAATACTGCTGCCAGATGATTCTTCACAAAACGATGTATTCCATTCCCATTTCTCACTTCAAGGAACTTCATAATTCCCTATAGTTCATACTGAACCTATCCTCTTCTGTTCAGCCCTTAATAAAACTAATTATAAAGCTAACTGAAGCACTTATGTGTCATATACACAGGTTTCATAGGTTTCTCAGTTAATCTTCAAAATGACACTATATATAAATGGATATCAATCTTATTCCTATGTTTTTGTAGATGAGGAAACTAATACACAAAGAGGTTAAGTAACTCATTCAAAGTCACAAGGTCTCACAATAAGTGATGGAGTTCAAATACAATCTTGTTACTCTGGATCCAGACCCCATGCTCCTACCAGAGGATTCTGCCATCTCAAAAGCTCTTCCAGTCTGTTCTGTCTCTACCTTATATCTTACAACTCTCTAATTTCAATTGTCTAGTTAGGCTGATCTTATTGCTACACCCACCATTCTCTAATTTCATTGTCTTTGCTTATGTTTAGTCATTTATTCATTCATTCAATAAAGCACCCAACAGGCTGATCATACTCTATGCCCAATAATTTCATTGTTTATTTGTTTATTCATTCCTTCATTTGTCCAACAAATATTTACTAAACCCCTGCTCCAGGTGTTCAGAATGCTCTCTTCACCTACCACTTCTCCAGATCCTACCTATCCTTCATGGCTTTGCCCTAGACTTTTTCATGCATTCCTCCTTAGCCAGTGCAGCTGGCATGGCCCCCCTTTCCATGAACACCAAGGGCACAGAAGGACATAACATAGCTTAGCATTCAATTTCACAGCAGCTCAGCAAGGTCTCATGCTATCTCATCTTCCTATCAGGATTCAGATGCCTGGAGGATCAAGCTAGGGTACATGCTTCTTTCATATCCATCAATGTTGAGTCCACATTGGGCATCCAAGAAACATTCTTTCATCCAACTACTAAACAAATGGGGTCCAATGAAAACATAATGGTTTTTAAATGCATCTTTAAAAAAATATTATGAATCTGCATTCTCTTTCTTTGCCCTAGAATTTACCTAAAGTTTATGATAGTCTTGTAAGGTAGGTATTATTATCCCCACTTTACAGATAAAGGCAGGACCAGGTGCAGTGGCACACACTTATAACTCTAGTACTCTGGGAGGCAAAGTCAGGAGGACTGCATGAGGCCAGGAGTTTGAGATCAGCTTGAGCAAGAATGAGATCCTCTCTCTACAAAAAATTAAAAAAAAATTAGCCAGGTGTGGTGATCCACACCTGTAGTCCCAGCTACTCAGGAGGCAGAGCAGAAGGATCATCTGAGCCCAGGAGTTGGAGGTTGCAGTGAGCTATGATGACACCACTGGACTCTAACCCTAAAAAAACAACAAAAATGGTAAGGCTTAAAGAAGATTAGTAACTTGCCCAAGTTTATTCACGAAATAGACAAATCTCAGAGTACAGGCTCCCAACCACTGCACCATGCTGCCTTCACAATTCTTGGTGATTCTCCTGAATGAACAAATGTTGAAAACCCATTGCTACTTCTGTGGCTAAAGGACTTTCACAAACAATATGCTTTTCGAGGATAAACATTATTCTCTATTTCCAGGAATGGAAACTCACTGCTATTGTGAAGAAATGATGAAAGTCTGGCAACTTCTACATCTTGTCCACTGTTTAGTCCTGAGACTTGAGGTCAAAATCCTAGAGAAGGGCCATGTGGGATGTGCTCCCTGGCCTCTCTGTTTTTGGATGCTGCCAGCAACAATACTGTTCAAGTTTTTACCCACATGATGACACTCCTTCCTCAGCAAGGTGAGCTATGTTCTGTTTTTCCTTTGATAGTTATGCCCTCACCTAACCAACTCAGAAAAAGGGAAATGTCCAGGGACCTTATTGAAAATACATCCTAACCCTTTTTCTCCCAAATATAGCCCCCAAATGTCCCAGCTGCCGTATCTAGCTGTTGTGACTAGCTTCCCTTTCTTCAAGGCAATTACTTCTCCCTTCCACCCTATTGTTACCTTGCCCTGCCCAGATTAGAAGCATGGAGGCATATACCAAGGGTCTGGAAAACCTTCTAGCCAAAAAGCCTTACGGTCTTGATGAGTACTGTCAAGAGTATAGTTATGGATGTGCCCTTTTCTGCTCTTCCCTCTGCATCAGTGTTCTGCAGAGGGTGGCTCATGCCCCTAATCATCCAAAGATAGTTTTGGGATATGCATGGATGACCTTCACACCAGAGCTAACAGATAATGCTGCTCTTCTCTGCCAGCCTCTGAAGGACATCACCCACTGCCTGCTCCTGAGATGTCAAGTGCACCAGATTCACCCCACCTGCTTCTTCCTTCCCTTCAGTCTTTTCTTTTATAGTCTTTTAGCCTCCCTTCCCTTGATGTTCTTAGCACACCTTCCTAGGTCTGTCTTTACCTTGCCCTCCATTTCTGCAACCATTTCTCAAACCATTGCCTATTTCTCCTTTCTTTCCAGTCCCTCCTCCATTCTTTCTCTTCCCACCACTTTCTTCCTCCACTGGATCCCTCAAATCTTATTTTGGCCCAACTCCCCCTACCCTTAAAACCCCTCCCTAGATCAGCCAAACACCCCAGGTCTGGCTGCCTCTGTCCGGTTCCCACCATCTTCCTACCCACTCTTTTCTGCTCCTTGGTGCCTAAGCAATCTCTTCTCCTATTAGTGCAGGTCTTTCTGTCTAGAGCCATGGTTCTTTATCTTTCACACTGTCTTCTTTTCTATTTATATGTTGATTTCTTTTAAAAGTAAATATTTAAAGGCAAAAAATGCCACTTTAAGTAAATAATAAATAGTACAAGTAAATAATAAACAGTGCAAATGGTACTTGGATATCAGATATACTGTCCAGGCACTCTTGATCTTCAAGGACCATGTCCCAATCAACCTGGCATTGCCTGATACCAAAAGGTGCTCACTAGAAATTGATTGTAATCTAACTTCTGGGTGTAAAATCCCATACTCATATTTTTTTTTTTTTTTGCAGTTTTTGGCCGGGGCTGGGTTTGAACCCACCACCTCGGGCATATGGGCGCCCTACTCCTTTGAGCCACAGGCGCTGCCCAGATCCCATACTCTTAAGAGGGAGGGACAACATAGATGAAACCTTCATGGCAGTGCAGAGATTAGAAGAGTAAAACTTAAATGAAAATCAGTCAGCAAGAATAGAAGGGATGAAATAAGCAGTGGCTTTCAAACTGAGACCTCCATTGGGTGTTAAAGTTTTATTTTGAAAGTGTTGGTAGGCATCCCATTTATAGCAAACAAGGAGAGTAATATAGAAAGTTAATTTCTAAAATGAAAAATAAAATTTTTTGTAAGTAGGGCTTGCAAGCTTGTTCTAGGCCTTGCTCTAGGAGCTTTTCAGTAATTTCTCTGTTGGAATAGGAGACGGAGACCTTCTGGACAGAAGGTCCCAGCCTGGGCTCCAACCTCTCCCATTCCCCCTCCGGACAAGAATGAAGTCTTGTCACACTCTTAAGTATTGGCTGTACTATTTGCTGCAAGATTTATAGAGGAAAGGTGCCAGAGAGAGCAATCCAGTTATCAGCCCCAGCCCCCGTCCTCTCAGGTACAGCTGCCGGGGTAAGCCCCCAAACTTAGCTGGCTCTACAGTCACGTAGAGGCAGCAGCCCATAGAAAATCCCGCGTGCCACACCCTCTGCAAGATCACGTAGGGACCCTGGCGTTGTCTCCCAGGCGCTTGCACTAGCAGCGAGAGAGTATCTGTCGCAGTCTCTGAAAACCAATCCAACCTGAGGAAGGTGCCCCCGTGGGAGTTTCAGGTATCCGTCGCCCTCAGAGGCCGGCGCAGGGAAGATAGAGGCCAACGTCGCGTCCCGGCGGCGCCTACAGCCCCTCAGCGCTCCCGGAGGCGCCTGGAGGCCTGGCCGCTGGAGGCGGGGCTCGTGCTGTGACACCGCCTCTCGCCTCGCTCCGCCCCGCGCGCGTTGCCAGGGTGATCAGGTGACTCCTGGCTCGCAGCTCTCCGGGCGGCGGTGACGTCAGGCGCGCGGCAGCTCCTTACTTGCTCCCAGGCAGGTGCGGCGAGTCTAGTGCGGTGTTGTCGGGTTTCCTCAGTTCTGGACCTCACCGCGATACAGCCAGTACGTGTAGAAGAGAGGTGAGGCGCGGCAGCCCCAGGCCGGGCCAAGCTGGGACCAGGGAGGGGTGAAGCGGGGACAGGGTGCGTCCCAGGTCCCCGAGCTCCCCAAAGAGAGCCGCGGGAGCCATCGAGGGCGCGGGCAGCCCCCGGGTAGGGCGGGGAGCCAGGGAACAGCTGCAGCCCGCCAGATGCCCTCCAGGCGCCCCGGGACTGCTCTCTGGCTCTCCGGCCCGGCGCCGGCCGCCCGGCCTCTCCGAATGGACTAAGGCGCTCCACGTTTCCGTAGCTCTCGCCTCAGGAGTCGGCGGGCTCTCAGCGGGGCTCGCCACACCCCGTCTCGCGGGACGTCTGCGGAAGGCTTCTGGATTTCTTCGCTTTGGGCTATTTCTGAGGCGCTGCTATAATCGTTCCGAGCTGGGCCAGCTGAGGGCCGGAGGCCAGTCGGAGTCCCGCGGTGGGAACGGGGACCGGGGGCAGAATGGAAGTAGATTGGGTCGTAAAACCGGCGCTTGTGGGGCAGGGGTAATCAGAGAAAGTGGTGCGTTAGGAAAAGCTATTCCTCGCTGATTTTGATAGTGGCGGTTTGGAATCGGAGTAGATCTTTTGGGGAAGGTGAAATCTTAGCCAGGTCTTGAGGGGTGGGGACTAATCTGGTTGCAGAGGCGGGGGCTGAAAGAGTAGGGGGAAGGAAATAAAGGGACCTCTGGGAAAGGGCCTTGCGCTGGAGGTGGAGGAAAAAATGATTAGGTGATTATCTGGGCTGCGTGCTGGGGCTGTTTTAGAGGAATAAAAGTTTGGAGACTTAGGGCTGTTTAGGAGAAAACTCTTTTGAGTGCGAGATAAGGGTTTGTGTGCTGTGGGAAGCCATTGAAATGTCGGATAGATTAGGGTAAAAGGGGAACACTATGACGGAGACACTGAGGACGTTGTTGTGGCACTCCAGAAAAAGGTGAAAATACCGTGATCTGATGGGAATCCTGGAACTCTACTTATGAAATAGGGTTGGGGGCACTGGTAGGCAGGTGCCTTAACACCCCAGGCATTGTTAACAGATTTTTATATTTTTAACAGATAATAATTGTATATATGTATTTGTAGGGTACACTGAGATGTTTCAGTACATGTGAACTTTGTGGAATAATCATATTAGCATATTTTTAAAAATTCTTTCTTATGAGAGGACACACCCAACAGCAGCTCATTTTCTTGCATCACATTTGACCAGCTTTTTTTTTTAAAGTCCCTCTCATAATTGTGTCCCGCCCCAAGAGGTGTGCCATACACCGTGCCTCCCCCATTTCCTTCTCTCCTCCTCGCTCCCTTATTCCCCTACCCATCCCTTGTATTAGCTCATCTACTCCTTCACATTAGAATTGAGTATACTAGATTCTTGTTTCCCCATTCTTGTGATGCTTTACTAGGAAGAATGTGTTCCACCTCCATCCAGTTTAATAACAAAAGTTGTAAAGTCTTCATCTTTTTTAATGGCTGAATAGTATTCCACATATATGCATATACTAGAGCTTGTTAATCCATTCCTGGGTTGGTGGGCATTTAGGTTGTTTCCACATTTTGGTGATTGTAAATTGAGCTGCAATAAACAATGTAGTCCAAATGTCTTTACGATAAAAAGATTTTTTTTCTTTTGGCTAGATGCCTAGTACTGGGATTGCAGGAACAAACGGGAGGTAATGACTAGCTGAAAGCTGTGCTCCCCTCAGTTTACATGGAGGTTATAAAGTCCATAGCACTTTGCCCTTCAGATGTTTCAGAGTGTCTTACAAAGACCAGTTATCTCTAGGGTGAAATCCAAACCCCAAATGCCTGGTAGGAGATTTAATAAAGGGAAGTTATTAAAGGAGAATCATACCCAAAACACGAACACAGGGCACTGGGTAAGCTAAAAGGATTCTCATACTCTGTTAATTGTAGAACAAAGATCTAAAGCCCCAAATCCTTTCTACCAGCTTCTCTGAGCTTGTGGGCTTCTCAGTTTAAGGCTGCTTAAGTATTAATTGGCCATTTTGTCCTAATTTCCTGAGAAACAGGAAAAATATATTTTGATTATATGAAGCAAAATGATTTGGTGATTTATAATTTTTCCCAGCCCTGAAATTTATTGATGCTGTGACCAAAAAAAGTACACTTGTTCATTTTATGTTGAAACTTATCAACTTCTATTTTCTGGGAGGAAACAAAATGGCTAAACCCTTTCCGCCAGTTTGTTTTGTAGTTTGTTTGACTCCAGAAAACAAAATTGGACCTTTAGGGATCTTGTATAGCAAAAGGCAGTTTAGGGAATTGCTAAGGAAGGTGGCCACAGCTGGTTTGTGCATAAATGTAGAAACCGGAGTAGCACTCAATAGAGGACAAGTCCAGAGTGGTGGGACCTGGGGAAGAGACTTTCCAGTCAGATCAGTAAAATAATTCTCTGTAAAAAAAGCCCCAAAGTATGTAAGAGGTCAGAGTAGTTTTTACCCTCTGTGTTCTTGATCACCAGTAGAGATTATGACAGAGATTTTTAAAAGGCTTGTAGGTTCCTCTTACTATTAAGAACTACTGAAAATTAGAGGACGGGCAAGGTGGCTCATGCCAGTAATCCTAGCATTTGGGAAGGCTGAGGGGGGAGGATTGCTTGAAGCCAGGAATTTGAGAACAGTCTGAGCAAGAGCAAGACCCC